TGCTAAACATGAGAGATTTGGTCCACTGATTCTGAAAGAAATGGAGTCACAAGAAATTTACCAGGAAACTCAGAAATTGGATTATTATGATGATGTTCCAGAAGATGATGACATGATTGTCATTGAATAAATGAGTAAATTCTTGATACTGTAGGATTCACAGTTTGTCTGGTTTGTGTTGACAACTACCATACTACCGTACCGTATACAGGTAATAAATTTCCTTTATTTTCATTTAACAATAAATGTGTACCCTATTCTTCTTCATGGAAAAATAAGACATTCCCTGAAAATAAGACCTAGCGCATCTTTGGGAGCAAAACTTAATATAAGACACTGTCTTATTTTGGGGGAAACGGGGTAATATTTGACCATACGTCTAGGCAGAAATGACCTAGCCAAGTTGATGCATAAAATTAACCATAACAGAGCCCAATGTAATCACAATGGTCTATATAAATGGCTGAGGAAGGCAGAAAGAAGAGAAGGAACCAGAGACAGCACAGACTTTGAAGATAGAGGAGGGGACTAGAGTCTAAGGAATGTGGTGGGCTCTGGAAGCTGATGAGCAAGGAAACAGATTCCATAGAACCCCCTGAAGGCACTCAACACTGTCACACCATGATTTTGGCTTAATGAGACTTAATTTGGACTCAAGAACAAGCAAGATAATAAATGTATGCTGTTTTACCTGGCTATTTAAGACACATCTGCCCAGGGTCAATCTCTCTATCTTTGCTTCCTATACCCTTCCACTTGCACCCCAGCTTTCTGTGGTTAGTCCTAAGTTGAAATTGGAGGTAAAAATTAGAAAAGTTATCAGTGATTGGACAGGTTTGGACCATTTGGAGCCAATTGTTTCGGGGTTTGTAGTTTAACTACCTGGATGGTTACTGCAGATAGTTGTACTTCTTGGTCTAGATACTATAGATAGAATTTTCAGTTCCTAGATGGTTTCTGTATATGCTAGTTTTATTTCCTGGACTGATTACTGTGGATATGAAAAGGTTCAGAACAGGTTCACCAAGATATGCTCTATTAACATGGCATTTGTCCACACAATTTACAATAGTTAAGATTTGGATATAGCCTAAGTGCTCATCAACAGATGAGTGCCCACAGCAGATGACACTGTGGTATGTCTGCACAATGGAATACTACTTGCTGTAAAAAATAAGGAACTCTTATCATTGCAACAGTGTGGATGGACCTAGAGAGCATTATGCTAAGTGAAATAAGCCAGTTGGTGAAAGATAAATATCACATAATCTCACTCATTTGTGGGATATAATGAATAATGCTGGAAGTCTTGATCCAGCATCTATTATAGAAGGGTTTAGGAATCTGGAGAAGGCTCTGTGTAAATTAATTAAAGAGTCCAGAGATGAAACATAATTTTGAAAGGCATTTTGGGGGAGTCAGAGAAGATTTAGCTAAAAGAACTAAGTTCTTCCTTGTCTCAGGACCCCTTGCTTTTTATTAACACAAATTGTCCTAAGGCAAAGTAGATAAACACTTCAAAGGATAGGGTTGGGCATAAAGAATCCATTGTCAGATTGAAAGAATTACCTCCAGCTGTTCAGGTGTTTGGCCAGTAGGAGGCAATAACATGTAGATTAAGATGCCCTTAGCTGTCTGGCAGCAAGCAATCATTTTATGCATCCTTTTCAGGTTTGGGGAAATGCCCTCAGCCATTTCCAGATGTTTCAGCCCTGCTGACATACTGGATTGGCTTTTGGCAAATGAACATAAACTGATGAACAAAAACAGAGCCAAAGGGAAAAAATATTTTAGAATATAATAGAAGTAATCCTGTTATTTGCAGATTTTTAATATTCCCTAAAACTTTTGTGATATTATACTATCTTGGTACAGTTTTGGTAATATGATTGTATTTAAGATCCTTTTTTCTTGAAATATTAATGTTTATTGCATGTAAATGGTTATTTTGTATTTATACTCTGGTAATAGATTTATTTTGTATATTGTAGATAGAGAGATAGATAAATAAACAAACAAACAAACAAAGATGGGGTTTATTTTAAGCTGAAGGAAATCAAGACATTGAATGTTCAAGAAAACACTTTTTTTATCTCTCCCTTCAAGAATGTAAAAGGGGTCTTGCCCATAATTAGAGTTATTACTAGAAATAGCTTTTTATGACCTAGATAAATGGCAGGGCAAACAGCTAATTATTGGGCATCTCTTCTTATCATCCTATGAATTACCCTCCTCCCCTCTGAAGCCTCAGGTAACTTACCTCACTCCTTAGTGCTGGAGGCTAATTCTAGCATGTCATAATAAAATGCAAGAAGTCCTCAAAAGGTTGATGGACTGAATACATGTTATTGCCTGCTGGAATAGCCAAAAGCATCTCCCTAAAGCAACCTAAAGATCTGCATATATTATTGCCTGCTACTGGAACAGCCAAAGGCAGTTCCTCCAATCTCACAATGCCTACTCTATACCAAACCTTAATCTTTGATATGTATGTCTGCTTTGTTTTAGGGCAATTTGTGTTTATAAAAATCTAGAGGTCCAGAGATTCAGGGAACTTGGTTACTGAAGCTAGGTCTCCTCTTGCTCCCCAAAATCCCTTCCAAATTTATATTTCATGTCTGGTCTCCTTATTAATTTGTACACAGCCCTTCTCCGTATCCCTTCTAGATTCTGGAAAACATCCCGGCACTTAGCTTAGAACATCATATCTACCTCACTTTACCTTTCTGTCCCTGAACCTCTAAGTATGTGGGTCTCTGACTCTCTTACATGTAGGATTCCTGTATGTACATATGTAATTAAATTTGGTTATTTTTCTTTTGTCAATCTCATGTATATTTAATTTTCAGACCCGTTGGAAGACCCTAGAAGAGTAGAGGAAAATTCTCCCTCCCCCACAGACAGTAGTTTCACTTCCTGGACTGGTTACCAAGGAATATAAGTTCACTACCTGGACTGCTTACTGGGGATGGTAGTTTCATTTACTGAGTGGTCATTGAAGTGGGACCCGAGTTCTACTTTGATTCATGGTGCCATTGTTCAGGTGTATTTTCACTGTCTAGAGCTAAAAAGCTGCTGGTCCAAGGATCACACTTGAATAGCAAGAGTGCAGGCCACTGGTCTGCATGTCATCACACCATTAACTCAAGTGGGACATGGAACCCATCATGCTTAATATGCCAAATGGACATGCAAACATTTGTTTTGTGCTCCATGATCACCCCCTGAGGTAAACTGGATTCTACTACATCTATTAAATGTAGTTCCCCACATCAGCAATAAAATAAATAAATAAATAGCCAAAAGATCCCTGGTGGGTCCATTGTCTTGAGGGTCCTTATCTGGCTTTAGAGAATGCTGCTGTTCTTGTGCATCCCTGTGATCTGAGGGCTGTCCACCTGAGATTTCATCCCTGCCCACAGAAGAGCCTTGACTTGAGTACCAGCTGCCCCTCTGTGAGCCCCAGACATAGAAATTGGTGCTGGGGTTGGGTGTGATCCAGGTGAGCTAACCATAATGCTTTCTTGGGGAATTTTTCACTGTGCTTTTGAAGAAAACTCTAGAATCTCTAGGGACAGGCAGTCATGTTCATTTCTTGTGATTAAAGTCTATTACCGGGAGAGATTGGGGCTGATGCTGAGAAAAAGGAGGAAGAGAGTATGGGAAGCCACTGCATGCCAACACTGTCATGAGCATGCACCAGGGAACGCGGAAGGCCGATGAGCATTAGCAGAGATTACATTGGGCACCGATTGTTCGTGTTGAGGTAGCAGTAGCTCGAAGCAATCTCCTGACCTGATAGCCTCCAAGTAAATGTTTACTGGATCTTACTGATGTTTATTGACCTTTGAGACTATCTGTCTGCTATTTGTTTGCCCTGCTTCTCTGAGGGCAAGATGTGTATCTAAAACTGAATAAAAAACAGCCGGGACTGGTTTGGCTCAGTGGATAGACAGTGTCGACCTGTGGACTGAAAGGTCCCAGGTTCGATTCCAGTCAAGGGCATGTACCTTGGTTGCGGGCACATCCCCAGTAGGGAGTGTGCAAGAGGCAGCTGATCCATGATTCTCTCACATCGACGTTTCTAGCTCTCTGTCTCTCTCCCTTCCTCTCTGTAAAAAATCAATAAAATATATTTTTAGTAATAAATAAATAAATAAAAAACAGACAAGGCCAGGACTTGATGTGTCTCTTCAAGAAAGAGGCTCCACCTGGCCCCACCCCTTAATAATTCATATTTTTGCATTTTCATTTGTGTGTCAGCCCTTCCTTCAGATCCTAAACCTCGCCGTGTAGGTCGCAGCAAGAGAGTAGCCTGAGGAGAGAATGGAAAGGCCTAGGGCAGCAGTGGTCAGCAAACTCATTGGTCAACAGAGCCAAACATTAACAGTACAACAATTGAAATTTTTTTTTTGAGAATCAAATTTTTTAAACTTTTTCTAATGCCATTTCTTCAAAATAGACTCGCCCAGGGCATGGTATTTTGTGGAAGAGCCACACTCAAGGGGCCAAAGAGCCGCATGTGGCTCTTGAGCCAAAGTTTGCCAACCTCAGGCCTAGGTTATCAGCCACTGCTCTTCAAGTCACCCTGGAACTAATGCTTCCAGCATTTGTCTTGTAACTCAGTTAGCTCTCCATCCTCCTGATACAACTCTTTTCACTTCAGCAGACTTTGTTTTGTTGAGTCACTTGCACTTAAGAGTCCTGGTTAATATCCTACCTCTTCAGACCCCTGTGTCTGCATAACTGAGGAAGGCACCAGACCAGGCAACTGAAACAAGCAGAGGAGATCTTCATTACCCTAGGGGCCTCAACCACACTCCCCACTCCTTCCCACTCAAAGACCCTGGGCACAACCCTCCCCACCAACAGGACAAGACCCGGCTCATTCTCTGCTGTGATGTCACAGGTTCCTAAACATTCCACAGTATCCTGGAGACTAAGGCGAGGGGAGCTGAGGGGCCTTCAGGAGGAGGTCCTCCTCCTTCAGCTGAGGGAACATGGCAGCGAATAGAGGAGCGACCCTCTTTGTCCTGCTGCTGTACTGCTGTCACAGAGCTGAGCAGCCGGTTAACACGTCTTCAGGGATAGTCGCAGTGGATCGTGTGGCAGGTACAAACATGTTCTGTCCTCCCTGGGTTCTGAATCAAGCAGGTGGTGGCTTTCTGCCACAGGTCCCTTCTTCCCCATCTCCCCAAATTTCCCACTTATCCCTGGGGGAATGAAGTAAGTTGAAGCCCTTTTTAAAATCTGGAACTCCATGGGAGATTAGCATAGCATACATTATGTATGCTAAGTTTTTATTATGGAAGTGTGTGTGTGTGTTTAAAATATATATATATTTTTTATTTCAGAGAAGCAGGAAGAGGGAGAGAGAGATAGGAACATCAATGATTAGAGAGAATCATTGATTGGCTTGTCTCCTGCACACCCCACACTGGGGATCAAGCTTATAACCCAGGCCAGGAATCGAACTGTGACCTCTTGATTTAATGCTCAACCACTGAGCCATGCCAGCTGGGCTATTATGGAAATTTTGTAACTTACCCAAAAGTAGAGAAATAGTATAAATAACCTCCATTACCCAGTTTCAATTATATACAATTTGCCATCTTATTTTTTACACATATACACACACACACACATTTGTTGTTACTGGTAATATTTTAGCCTGTCCAAGATGTCTTAAGATTTCATGAAAATGTTTTCTTGCTAAGATAAGGGCCTTTTTCTTTTACGTATTTACAATGTCTTTAAACACTGACAAGAATAACAAAAGATTATATAAAGGACTGAATATGGGCTCATACCTGACCCATACTCAAATCTCTCCATGCTCTCAGAATGTCTTTTTGCAGGTGGTTGGTTCCAATCACACCCTTTAGTTTTTACCCTTTTGTCCTGATCACTTAACGTATAGAGAAATGGAACAGTGGGACAGTGGATGGGAGATGGCCTCCTGAGAATATGACTCAATGGTAGAGCGGTCAGAAGGCAGCAGAAAGGGGAAACTTCCATGACCCCCTTTTCTGCCCAAGAAATTACATATTCAGACCACCTACTCCCTTCTCCCCCTTCCACTTCCCACAGAGGTCACCAAAGATGGGACCTCAAGAAAAGAGGCCTGAGAGGATCCCCCAGTCCCAGGTCCCAAAGTTGGGTGAGCAACACTGAAGAGTCATCCTGAGTAGCTCTCCTGAAAGCAGGACACATGGATCCCGGCCCTGAGCCCAGTGGTGCATGCCCTCTCCCACCCACACCGGCCTGGGGGGCAGTCCAGCCTGGCCTTGGTCTGGGTGAAAAGGCAGGGGGTCTCCGGGACCTGACTATGTCATAAAAGAAGCTAACATTTCCAGCTTTCTTTTCATAAGGACACTTCGTTTTGAGGCACTTACCAAGAACAGTGTCTTTTGAGGTGCTGGGATGATGAAGGGTCTAACAGGTGAGGTATGTGTGGTCACTCCAGGCTGTTGTCATCCCTCCAGCCAGTTCAGTCCTATGTATGCCTTTCTGGCTCCCAGTTCCACACCCAGGGATTAAATGGACGCTCCTGCTGCAGCCCTAAGCCAGCCTCTCCCCTCCCCAGATCTGGTCTCCTTGTCAGATACTGAAAACCTTAGGTTCCCTCCAAGGTCTGCCCCCCCCCCCCCCCCCCGCTTGAAAGACCAATTAGGGGAAGTTTCTAAATCGTTTTCTCAAAAGAACATTGGTTGTCCTTACTTTGCTGCTGGGATCTTTCTGCCTCAGTGGGCGCTGTGGCCATTGGCCACACGGTTGGGGCTCACCACAAGGAGAGGAAGGGGAGCAGAAGCCATGGGCCTTATGAGGGAGGAGGTTACAGCCTTGTTTTCTCCAAATTACCTGGATCTCGGCCGCAGAACTCAGCAGTGAGCCCTTCCCCACGGCCAGGATGGGCACCATGCAAATATGGAGAAAGAATAACCAATTATCATGATAACGTGGGTGCTGGGCCGGTTTAAAACTGAAAGGTGACAACAAGCAAAATCCGATACAGCAACTACCCTTGACAATACACTTCAGAAACCATGCAGATATTACAAAACATAAATATTTTTTCTGCATACGCTTACTGGCTGACTTGCACAATACTTCCATTATAATTATGGGACAGACACAAAAATGAAAAGAATATTTTTAACAAAGTGCTTGCACGATGCAGCTGTACCCATTCTTAATGACGCATTAATGTCTTCTCCAAAGAGAACTGTACTTTTGTTTGCTTCATTTACCGAAGGTCAGCACACTGGGAAGCGATTGTCATCGCAGCACAGACCTTTTTACATCGTTTTCCTGTATTGTTCTAGGCCCTCCGTGCGCAGATGAGTCAATTGGTATGCAGATTGTCCATCATTAAACCCATTTGAAAATCAGCCTTGTCATTGGTTTAGTGTTGGAACTTCAGTGTCTGCAGACGCCACTTAAATGCTCTGAGCTGCAGCAAGGGGAAGGTGGCCCTGCCTCGCCAGTCCTTGGGGGCTGTCTCCTCTCTCATCAGCCTGCCACTGTTGGTGGTGGTGGGAAGAGCATCAGGTATTAGACCCATGGGGTCAGACAGGACCTGGGTTCAACCATCTTGGTACTTGAGTTCTGGCTAGGAAGTTGTTCAAAGCCAAGACTCAAACTATAAGAGAACGTCTATAATAATAAAAGCGTAATATGCTCATTAGATCAGGCATCCTTCCAGATGTCCTTCCTTTCAGACAAAGCCGCAGTGAGCAGGGCTGAGGCAGAGGTGGCAGGTGGGGGCCAGGGCCAAGGCCCTTGCATGAATTTCGTGCATCGGACCTCTAGTTTATTTAGAAAATCAGAGGTAGAGGTAGTAACTTGTAAAAGAAATGAGCTTAGAAAAGAAGTTATAGAGGCAAAGGAAGGATCCTTAGAGCTTAGAAGTGAGGAAAGTAAAGGAACATGCATGGGAGAATAGGGAAGGAGAAGGGAAAGCTAGGGGTGCTCTCAGCAGAGAGAACACACTGGGACCTCCCTTCTAAGGGTTTTAAGGGTGGAGATTTTAGGGGAGATTCCAGGGGAAGATTTCAATAGAATATTCTACAGCTTTCCAGGTATATCCCTTTAGGGTCAGGGTCTCCTCTGATTGATTGATCACTGCCAAGGCAGGAGGTCATTATTCATGTAGCTGGTCCTGAGGTCAGCATGGCGTCACTTGTCTGGTTTTGCTGCTTTTCAGGGCCTGGAGCTGAAATACAATTGAGGCCTAGATATTATCTCTAGGAGCAAAAGATCTGGGGTCTAAACCACATCCAGGGATATGGAAGGTTGAGACCAAACCACATGAACAGCTGTATGCTAGGGGAGGAAAGGTTACTCTAAGGGTGAGGTCCCAGGCTACAAAAAAAAAAAAAGCTTTGTGCCCTGGTGACCACCTCTACTCATGAGCTGGGTTAGCAAAACTTAAACAAAATAAACTTTAAAACAAAGGCTATAATAATAGACAAAGAAATACATTGCATAAGGATAAATAGATCAATAAAACAAAAGAATATAACCCTTGTAAACATTTATGTACTCAACATAGGAAAACCTAAATATATAAAGCAAATATTGATGGACATTAGGGGAGAGAACACCCTCATTGACATCAATGGATAGATCTTCCAGGCAGAAAATCAACAAGGAAACAGCAGCCTTACATTACAATTAGACCAGATGAATTTAATTTATATTTTTAAGGCATTTCACCCCAAAGCAATAGAATATTCTTTTTCTTTTTTCAAGTGCACATGAAAATTTTCCAGGATAAGACAAAAGACATGTCTTAATTAATTTAAGAAGATTGAAACCATAGCAAGCATACTCTCTATCATAATGGTATAAAACTAGAAATTAATTATAAGAAAAAATATAAAACACAAAAAATATGGGGGTGAAATAATATGATACTAAACAATGGATGTGTTAACAATGAGATCAAGGAAGAAATCAAGATACCTTATGAAAATAAAAACACAACTATGGGACATAGCAAAAGCAGTTTTAAGAGGGAAATTCATGGTAATACAGGCCTATCTAAAGAAACGAAAAAAAATTTTTTTAAATATATTTTATTGATTTTTTACAGAGAGGAAGAGAGAGGGATAGAGGGTTAGAAACATCAATGAAAGAGAAACATCAATTAGCTGCCTCTTGCACACACCCTGCTGGAGATGTTCTCGCAACCAAGGTTCATGCCCTTGACTGGAATCGAACCTGGGACCTTTCAGTCTGCAGGCCAACGCTCTATCCACTGAGCCAAACCGATTTTGGCAACAAGAAAAATCCTAAATAAGCAAATTAAGATTATACCTGAAAGAACTAGGAAAAAAACAATAAACAAAGCCCAAAGTGAGTAGAAGGAAAGAATTAAAGATCAGAATGAAAATAAATGAAATAGATTCTAAAAGGGAACCACAATATATAAGATCAATGAAACCAAGAGCTGATTCTTTGAAAAAATAAACTAAATTAATAAACCTTTAACCAGAAAGAAATAAAAAGTATCCAAGTGAATAAAATCAGAAATGAAAGAGAAGTGACAACTGACATTAGAGAAATTCAAAAGATTATAAGAAAATACTATGAACAATTTTATGCCAACAAATTGGACAATCTGGAAGAAATTGATAAATTCCTAGAAATATGTGATCTTTCAAGACTAAAACAAGAAAAAAACAGAAAATCTCAACTGACAATTTACTACCAATGAAAGCAAATTAATAATTTAAAATAAAAAAAAACTCGCAACAAACTAAAGTCCTGGACTGGAAGGCCTCACAGGTGAACTTGAGCAAACACCCAGCAAAGAATTAATATCTATCTTTCTCAAACTATTCCTCAAAACTCAAGGAGGGCGGTCTCCCAAGCTCACTTTAAGAGGCCACTACTTTTTTCATTTCAAAACCAGACAAAGACATTACAATAAAATTATAAGCCAATATCCCTGATGAATATCAATGCAAAAATCCTCAACAAAATATTAGCAAACCAAATTCAGCAATATTTTAAAAAGATCAAGTGGAGCCAAACTGGTGGCTCAATGGTTGAGCGTTGACCTATCAACCAAGAGGTGATGGTTTAATTCCTGGTCACGGCAAATGCCTGGGTTGCAGGCTCAATCCCCAGGATGGGCCATGCAGGAGACAGCCCATCAATGATTCTCTCTCATCATTGATGTTTCTATCTCTCTCTCCCTCTCTCTTCCTCTCTGAAATCAGTAAAAAGATATTTTTAAAAAAGATCAAGTGGCATTTATTCCAGAGATGCAAGGTTAGTTAAATATCCACAAATCAACATGCTACACTACATAAATAAAATGAAGGATAAAAATATGTGATCATATCAATAGATACAGAAAAAGCATTTGATAAAATCCAGCATTCATTTATGATTTTTTTTAAATGTCAGGAAAGTGAAAATAGAGGCAACACACCTCAACATAATAAAGACCACTGTTATGACACCATAACCATTGCTAACATCATACTGAACAGAGTAAAGTTAAATATGAGACCATTCTGTTGCAGAGATTAGGGGGTCTTACACCTGCCATTTATTTATTTAGCCTCCACCACAGTTCAGGAGCATATTTCCTACATTCACTGCTTTATTTGAACCTCATAAATAGCCCAATGAAATACAGACCCCATTTTACAGAAGAGAAAACTGAAGATGGGAGAGGCACAGGCCTAAGGTCACATTCCTATAAGAGTAGAACCAGAATGTGGTTCAGCTCTGCTTGGCACAAAGCCCTGGACTCTTACCTTATACTAGGAATCTCCTAGGAGGAGTCAGAAGGATGTAAAGGAGAAAACAATGCCGCTTGATGTAGAAATCAAGAATGCTGTTCGTGCCTACACGAGGACAGCTTGGGGGAAGACTTGGAGGAGACAGAATGACGGCAGGGTCGGAAAGAAGTATGACTACACGCGGGGCCAGGTTTCCAGCCTCGTATCTTTGGGAGTCAATGCCTATTGTCCAAGGAATCTGGATGGTTTCAGGTTTTCAGAAATTACTTAGAAAGACAGTGGTCTCCCCACCCCAGACAAGGTTCTTTAGGAAGCCAACTCCCATGTCCATGGAGTCCCTGGCTTCCTGTTGCCAGTAACTACATTCACAGGCAGGGGTCCTCAAACTTTTTAAAGTGGGGGCCAGATCACGGTCCCTCAGAGAGCTGGAGGGCCGGACTATATGAACTACTAATTCCTACTGTAACACCTCGGCTGCGCTCACTGCCCAAAAAACCTGGCGGGCCGGATCAGACTCCTCTGCGGGCCGCATGTGGCCCGCGGGCCGTTGTTTGAAGACCCCTGGTAGAGCAAAAGGGTTTGGGTTCTGCATCACTGGCTTTAACGTGTCTTGTGTGCTTTTCCCAAGATGAAATTCTAGTCCAAGAGATATTGAATCCAAATAAATCATCCAGGTCAGGAACAACCAAGACAGCATCAACATCATCACCAGCAATGCTCAAGGGAAAAAGCAAGTATACGTGGGTTGTTTTTTTTTAACTCTCTAATCACAAGTATTCCTAAGGGCCTTTGGTATTAAATGCACAATCCCATCATGTTCACATTCGTAAGGCCAGCTTCTTCTGGGGCAAAAGCAAATGGAGTTGTGAAAGAGGCGGTTGTCCCAAACCATTTCCATAACCTTCCCAAGACTGGGGAGATCAAAGACAGACGGGCAGAGACAAGTTTCCTTCATCTTGAGGTGGTCTCTGGGGTGCATGTGCACAAGTGGGGTTCCACCACTGCAGGAACAGGGGGCACGGGAAAATGGGAACTTTCCATGAGCCAACACATGTGATGCTCACCTAAGCTTCTTACAGAGCAGGGCAGTGACCATGACGGGATCAGACTAAGGTCTGAAAAAGCACGTGCCCAAGGCCAAACTGCTGGTAGAGAATAAAATCAAAGAACATACTTTTCAAAAAATACAGCTGCATGTTGTTCAAAATGAACATAAAAAACAAAGAAGCACACACACTGAGAACCAAGACAGAATATTTGGTTGACACCTGCTAAGGAGAAAGCCAGGCACCAGAAATCCACACGCAGTGTGTGAAAATGCATAAAGCAGCAGGGAAGTTCCGCATTTTCTTGAAAGTTTGCATCCAGATATAAATTCTAAGTCCTTGCACTAGCTCACCCAACGTCTGCCCAGACCCACACTGCTGGGTTCAAGGCACTCAGATGATGCCTGACTCTCTGGTTACACATTAACTTCCCAACACACATTTCCACCCTAATGTTGTAAAATAAATTATAGACCAAAATGTTTATAAGTGTGTAATCAAGAAAACATTTCTTCATTTTTTTTCCATCTTCTTCTTCAAAGAAACCGTCATTGATGAGAATGCGGAAGATTATGCTGAACCACCAAATAATGCACACTCCTCTCCTAACAATGAGGACCAAAGGTTCAATAATGGTAAATGCAACCCGATAGCTCCCTTGCCTGAGTTCAGAGCTTAGTGGGGATCACAGAAAGGCCCGACAGAGGCAGGTGGAGATGGCTCCTTTTGGGAGGGTGAAAAGCCAGGTTGTAGAGCATGGCCATTTCACCAAGTCAGACACATTTTCCGTCTCTGTCAAGGCCCAGAGACCTCCAACCTCCCATCCTTGTCCAAGGATCTGACCCTAGAAAACTAGGGCCCAGAGGAGCTGGCAGGAATGTCGTTCCTGCAGGCAGGTGGATGCCAGAGGACAAGGAAGGCACTGTCACACTGCCCACCCCCTCCCTAAGTTTCAGTTAAGTCACTGCTCCTCCTCTGGGGTAGGGGAATGGAAAGTGCCCTACTAGGTCTTCCCCCTCCACCCCCCCACCCCAGAAGTGGAAGAAATGCATCCCTCTGGCAGACAATTTGCTAAAACGAAAACCAGTGTCATTGTTTTCTTGTCCAAATTATCCCAGGTTTGCCTTGGGTGTCTCTTGCATTTTGTTCCTCTGTCCTTTTAACATGCCCCATCCTTTCTGAGCATATCCCTACTTTCTGGCACCATGAGGTGTTCTAGGGCCTGTTGTTGTATCGTCCCTGTCTCGGACCTGGAATCTGGTTTCTTTTATTGAAGAACTGCACTGGAAAAAAAAAACAAAAACAAAAAAAACCAAGAACTGGGTGCTGAGTCAATTCAGTAGAATGACATTGCTCCCAGCAGATGGAACTGGAAATATATGAACACACAGAGATGCATGCAAGACACACAGGCACACACAGATATGCACACACACAGGCATACACAGATGCATGCACACACAGACCACACAGATGCATTTACAGATACATCATATTGAATTCTCTGCCTCTCTCTGTCCCTCCTTTCTTTTTCTGAAACCACTTGATACCTCTGATCCCACCCCAGCAGTGCAGGGTTCTCTCAGGGTCCCTTCTGTTCCTTCCTTGTTAAAAACCTGGCTTCCATTTTCTTTTTATTATTATTATATTATTATTATTAAATTATTATTTGCTGGCTTCCATTTTCTACAATATATTTAACCATTTTAAAAAATATGTTTTATTGATTTTTTTACAGAGAGGAAGGGAGAGGGATAGAGAGCTAGAAACATCGATGAGAGAGAATCATCGATCAGCTGCCTCCTGCACACCCCCCACTGGGGATGTGCCCACAACCAAGGTACACATCCTTGACCGGAATCGAACCTGGGACCTTTCAGTCCGCAGACTGACGCTCTATCCACTGAGCCAAATCAGTTTCGGCTATATTTAACCATTTGCTTAATCCTAGAGCTCTAGGATTGTTATCCCACACTCCCAGGAAAATCAGATTTACCAATAGGAGAACAATGCTTGTGGGTAGTTTTTTGTCTCTAGTCTCACAGTCTATAGTAACATACTGTTTTCCAGAGTTTCCTTCCTTGCCTGTTCATTGTGTGTTACTCATTTCTGATAAAGTCAGGGCCATTTGTTACTGTTGCATCTCTTTTTGATTCCCACATCCTGTTGATTTTAAATGTTAATTAATATTGGACTACATATGAAACATTACCATTGTTTTTTAAGTCATAATTATAGAAAAAAAGTATCCTATATAATAAAAAGGTAATGTGAAAATTGACCCTACCAGTAGAACAACTAGCACAACCACTCGACCAGCCACTATGCAGCACATTGACCACCTCTTGGTCCCTTTCCCTGGCCGGCAAACACCCATCACCCAATGGCAAATGGGGACCTGAAGGAGGTGACAGGGGAACGGGTGCACCAGGCCAAGACTCCCGCCCCATCAGTTGCCCCACACACAGAGGGCAACCCATTGAGGGGGCAGGGCCAATGAGCAGGCAGGGGCAGCCGACCTCATGGTTCCTTCCCCCTGCCATCAGGTTTTGATTGCCCAATGGCGAACAGGGAACCAGGGTGGGTGGCAGTGGAGGGCAGGGTTGGCCATGGGCAGCCAGGGAAGATGGCCCTGATCACAGGTCAGGCCTAGGGACCATACCCATGCATAAATTTCGTGCACTGGGCCTCTAGTGTATATATAAAATTACCACTCGCCCATCACCCAATCAATTCCATAGGTAACCTATCTCATTCATTCTGTTCTACCATTCCTGTATTTCCTTTTGCACAGATGAGGAGATATATGCATATTCATATACCCCTACTTTGTTACATGAGGTGTATACATCCTTCACAACACTGTAAACTGGAAATCATTATCACCTGGAGTACACCACAATGTGTGTGTATATATATATAAACTGTAAATCTAGAAATCACTGTAAACTGGATTTACACTGGATTTAGCACTGTAAACTGGAAATCACTCAGAGTATACCACTGTATATATGAACCATAGTGTGTGATCTTTTCACGTGTTTTAATCTTCTGCGATGACAAACAGTGCTAAAATAACTAGTCTGGTGCAGAGGCCAGAACTGAGAGAGAAGACCAGTGAGAGATGAAGTTAAATGAGAGCAGGGGCAAGTCATGACCCATGGACCATACTGAGTGGTTTGGACTCTATTCTAAAGGCAGTCAGAAGTCTGCATAGGCTTTTAAACAAAGAAAAGATCAGATTAGATCAGTTAAGGTCAGAATTGAGCAACCTGTACCCTGCCTGTAGCACAATTGCTGAATTGGGAATAAATGAGACCAAAGATGACCTTCCAAGTAAATTCGATATAATAAAAAGCTAATATGCAAATAGACCAAACAGCAGAATGACCAGCCGCTATGATGCACACTGACCACCAGGGTGCAGACGCTCAACGCTGGCGAGCACAGCAGCAGTGGCAGGAGCCTCTCTTGCCTCCTCGGCAGTGCTAAGGATGTCTGACTGATAGTTTCGTCCAGGCTGAGGTACCAACCTCACCCCCAGAGTGCATGAATTTTATACACTGGACCTCTAGCCATAAATAAAGCAAAAAACTAGTATAATCAACAAGTAAATTCCCAAAGTCATGAAACAGCATTTGTAAATTTCCTATTCTTAGGCAATAAGGTTTAAGAGTGTTCATTCAGGCCATTTCAGAGTTGTCCTTTGGAATGCCAAATCTGCTGGTTTTCTCCATGTTGGGTTGTGGTATGCCATCTGCCTGTCACTTAATCATTTCCCAGGAACATGCAAGCAGCATTCTAATCAGTGGCCTGCACTGACTCATCTTGGCCCTTCCAAGGGACTCTCAGCAGAATGTCTCTGCTCATTCAAGGGAATGTGACTGCATAATAGTGCTTTGCACTTCCTAGCACATTGCCAAGGGGTGCCTCAAAGCATTTTGCACACAGTTAATTAAGTTAGTCTAGTAAGTGCAGGGGAGTCTCCAGCCTCTCAGCACCAAGAGGTCTGGGTGGGAGGGAGTGATGGGAGTGAAATGTAAGGCCTACCTCCACCTCTGGGACACAGGGGCTCCTGGGGAGATGTGCAAGACAGTGAGCCCTCCGTGTCAATAGGGGGATGCATTAACATATGCAAATAAAGAAATAAGAAATATGTATTTTCTTATTGTTGGAGATGACCTCCAGGGTAAATTCTTAGAATTGGAATAGCTGGGTCAAAAAATGAATGACTAATAGTCATAGGGTACCTAATTCCATATTTATATCACTTTACAAAACTCATTTTGTAATAAATCATAAAAAAACAATATTAACTTTCAACTTAACCATTTATTTATTTATTATTTATTTATTTATTTTAAATTATCTTTGTTGTTGAAAGTATTACAGATGTCCCTCCTTTTTTCCCCATTAACGTCCTCCTTCCTGCTCCTGCCCCTCCCCAGGCCTTCACTGCACTATTGTCTGTGTCCATGGGCTATGCATATATGCATATACATTATTTGGTTAATCTCTGTCCACCTCCCCCTTTTTTTAACCTTTTAAAATGAAGTGTGGACCAAAATGTTCATAAATGTGTAATCAAGAATATGTCTCTCCTTTTCCCCCATGTTTTCCTTCAAAGAATCCAGTGGTAATAATAGTTACCAAGTCGGTGGTTCTGTGGATCATGGTGAGTCACATCTCTCTTCCAGCAGAGAGCACAGGATTTTCAATAGTAGTAAATGCAAACTGGTGATCACTCCTTCCTGCACTCTATAGAACGTGGGAGGGACAGAGGATGGGAAAGTCTTCCCCCCAGCCTCCCCAATGGTGTGTTCTCATACTATTATACTAAACTTTCAGCAGACTTATGAGTGAAGAGTAATATTTAAGTGTCCTTTTAATCTGAAATTCTATTGATATAATTATAAGTGAGTTTGACTAACATATATATAGTGGCTTTTTATATCATGTTTGTTCATTTTGTTCATGTTCATTTTTATATAATTTTTGTGAATGTTCTGTTTATTATGTTTACTTTTCCCACTAGGTTTTTTGGTCTTTTATCCTCAATGTTGAATTCTTTATATGTTAAAATACTACACCTTTGTCTGAGCTATATGTGACAAATATCTTTTGTTAGTTGTCTTTTAACTGTTTCTGAATTTTTCATGCAAAAATTTTCATGTAGTCAAACTTATCCACCTTTAATTACCTTTAGCTTTTGAGCTGTAGTAGTTAGTGGGCATCACTGCCTTGCTCATGATTTTGGCAGAAATGCCTCTAGTGTTTACCTAATAAGTAAAATTCTGGCTTCAAGAATTTTATGTAAAGAAAGTATCCCTAAATTCTTTGACATTTTGTCAAAGTATTTGTCATCATCTTTGGAGATAATCATTTTTTTAGCTCTATTAATATGATGTATCAAGATTTTCTAATATTGAATCAACCTTGCATTTCACCGCTGGGTCATGTTGATTATTTTCTTAAAATGGTATTGCATTCTGCTTGTTAATACTTTATTTAGCATTGCTGCACCCAAATACATAAGTCACATTAGTCTATAGTTTTGTTGTACAATCTTTATCAGGTTGAAGTATCACTGTTATATCTGCTTTATAATATAGAATTAAAAGTTTCTCCTCTCTTTTAGATTCTCTTAGACAATTTCTAGAGCACTGGAACCATCTGGTCTTTTCAGATTTGTTAGAAATGCCCTGTGAATCCATCTTATCCTGTTATTTTTCCCCTGGGGTACTTACTTAGAATGTTTTCTATCTTTTCCTAGGTTAAGTGATTAATTTCAGCTTTCTTAATCAAATGGGGTCAATTTTAGCAATCAATGTATTTCCCTAGAAAATTATCTATTTCTTATATGTTTCAAATGTATTTGCATGGAGATCTTCAGATTGTCTTGTGAATTTTAAAATGCCATTTGTTTCCATTGCTATTTCTCTCTTGTTATTTCTTATTTTGTAAATGTATGCTTTTGTTCCTCCATGATCAGTTAAACTAGTAGTTGTTCTAGTTTATAAAAATTTTTAAAATCCAGGGTTTTAATAAATTAACTCCACTACATTTCCATTCTGTACCTCTTTAATTTCTGTCTTTATCATTAATTTTTCCTTCTTTATGCTCTCTTACAGATCACTTTGTTGCCCTCTTTCTAGGTTTTAGAGCTGAGTAATTTTTTATTTTACCAATAAGTGTTTGGTGCTCTGCTCCTTTAAACATATTCCATAGATTTTTATATATAGTATTTTAATTAACATTATTTTTTTCAGAAATTCTATAGGTTTAGTTTGTACTTCCCTTTTACCCAAAAGTTGTCTAATAAATGTGTTTTCTAATTTCCTAGGGCCTTTTGTCTTTGTTTCTATTAATAATTTCTACTTTTATTATACTGTGATCAGAGAATATTGTTTTTAATAGCTCTACTTTGAAATTGGCTTACTTTTTTTTTTACCTAATATATAACCAATTATGTGAATATTCCATGAGCATTTGAGAAGATGTATTCTCTACTATTGAGATATAAAGGGTACTTAGTATATATTTATTATATCTATCTAATTGATTAAGTTAAGTGTCCTGTCTTCTTATACTTATCACCTTAATCTTTTATTGAGAACAGCATACAAAAGTGTCCTATTATAAAGATGTTTCTGTATATGTATTCTTGCATTTTCCGCAGCTTTTGCTTTATAAGTGTGATTCTTGTGCTATTTTCTGCATAGATTTTCATGATTGTTATATTTTCATTGTGAACTCTAGCTTTTAGTATTAAAAAGAACACTTCTTTGTCATGGTTAGTGCTTTAGGCTTGATTTTACTGTCTGATAAAAGGAGTACTGCTATTTTCTTTCTTATTGTTTCAATTTACTAACATATCTTTGTCTATTTCTTTACTGTTTTTCATTTTTTTTAAATTTTTATTGTTGAAAGTATTTTGTATGTCCCCTTTTTTCCTCATTGACCCCTTCTAGCCCACCTCAACCCCTCCACCCCCGGCCCCAGGCCTTCACCACACTATTGTCTGTGTCCATGGGTTATGCATATATGCATACAAGTTCTTTGGATGATCTCTTCCCATCCACCCACCCTCCCTGCCTTTAATCATTCAGCATCACTTTAAGTATACAGACTATTCTTGAATCTTGTTCTCTAAAAAGAATTGCCAAAAAAAATAAATAAATAAGTTAAACCCATTTACATTACTAATGTGACTGACATTTGGTAGAAAATGTGAGAGTTACACATTGATAGGAGTCAATTAAAATTTCATCAAGGATTTAAAATGGGAGGACTGGAGAAGTAAAATGTAAGAAGCAATAGTGAACCAAAAATGTCCTGTTAACTATGAGCGTAAATCCAAGGATTTCCTGAGTAAAACAATAACAGTGAAGCAATTTATACCTCATTGCAATTTATTTGACATATCATGAGTGCTGGTTTTCCCATAATTTCAAACAGGTGTTTCTGCATGCTGGCCAAATAGACTGGCCAAGTTTAAGAGTGTCTGCACAGTGAGGGGTTGGCATAAAGTTCTCTCTCATATCCACGGCCACCATTTTCATATTAGTACAAGGATATTTTTCATTGCACTAATATAATGTTTTCTACTTCCTCGTCAGGCATTGGTTCCCTCTCTTTTTGCTCCCAACAGTCTAGTTTGGATTTGGGATGCACTTAGGATGACAGGATACCAGAGCCAGGAGAGCTCTAGATGATCCCCCAGAACAAGTTAGACGTCAGAGGGGAATGGGACGGCAGACTGGCCCACATAACCCACGGACAGCTAGTGGCACTGGTTGCAGGCTTATCCCTTTTAACGAAAAGCAAACTGCAACATGAAGTCCAACCCTCCCAACAGGGGCAAGGTTCACAGACACAGAGCCTGAGCCTCAGCAAAAGGCATCCCTGGGAGCCTGATCTGCAATTAGTGCTTTGCTTCCTGTTATTTCCTCCTACGGCCTGAGTCAGACCTTTTCATTTTAAGAAAAAGCTAAATGGATGTGGTAAGACAGCTCCCAATTTAGCTTGGTGTTCCTAAAAATTAAGGGAAAGATGTAAGGTGTAGCTGGTGGGACCTTGGTTTCCTGAGAGAACAGCACATTCATGCTTGGTATCGGCGCCTACCACCTTGGGTTGCAAGAGTCCCTGTGCATGTCCACTGCCACCCCCAGGAGACTGTGGCCTCCTGGGGGGAGTGCTGTGTCCTCCGTGTCACCCAGCATTTTATAGAGAGCAGGTGCCTGTTGATTGAATGAATGAAGGAATGAATGGGTGAATGAATAAATGAATGAAGTGTCACAACCTTGGGATTGGCAAAGATGTTTCTATGGAAATGTGTGGCATTAACAGACTCATTAACACAGAAAAAAAAAAAAGGCTAAATTCCATAATAGAATTCCACCAAGCCCTGGCCTGGTGGCTTAGTTGGTTAGAACATTGGCCTGTATGATAAAGGTTACTTTCAACGTAACCGTTTATTTGATTTATTTATTTATTTTAAATGACTCTACAAGCAACTCCAACACAATTTGACAGTGTTGCTCTGTTTTGCAAAACATGCTGAGTTCTGAGGTCCTCACCCACAGGTGCTTAGAATTTGGTCTAGGAAATGGGCCAGGGAAATATACTCATGCAGAGTCCCTCCCAGCCCTGTGCAACCCCACACTGTTCCTCTTCCCTAGCAGCAGGACCAGTCCCACACAATTATTGGTAGAAAGGGCTTGACAGAAGGAAGGGCGGGGAAATTACCCATTTGTGAACCGTGTCCAGGTCCAAGGACAGGTCCCATCACTCAGGAGCATTAGCTCCAGAGGAGGAACTGGTCTTCACCACCAGGCAAGAGGGCCCTTCCTGCACCCGAGTGACAATGTAGTTTCGTGCTCCTGAGTGTAGAAAGTGTGAAGGTGTAGGTTTCCACCTCGGCTTGAGCACAAGCCACACATTCTTGGTTCTGGGCTCGTGGAAGGAAAGGATGTTTTGAGGGCCTCACCTGAGGCTATGCGACCATCACGAGTCTGTGAACAGGATGCTGCCTCCTCAGAAGTTTTAAAGAAAAGACTTTTGGAATTATGCCTTACTTATTTACCAAAGCTTAACCATTGTATTTTATTTCCCCCCACCCCCTCACAGGCAAAAAGAACTCAAAAAATGATCCTGATGAAAGTATATCAGTTCTGGACAAAATCCTCCAAAAAATTGGAAAATTTTCAGGTAAACTGGAATAATAGATAAGTGGATTCCCAGTTCTGGGTTTATTAACTTAATATGAAGAGAAGTAAAAACATCTACTCAAGAGATGCACATGCCTTGTGAACAGCTCTCTGAAAGAGCAGGTGACACAGTCCTGGGTAGATCAGCTTGAGCTCCTCAGGAGTTGCCTGGTGGGTGTCAATGCAGGGACACCTGGTCCAACAAGTCCAGATTTGAGGAGTCATGGGCCACATGTGGGTATTTCCTCTCCTTCTAAACCTAACTGAGCAAGAGACTGTCCCTCTTTCTCAGGGAATAACTGAGGCAGGGGAAGCTGCTGTCAAGCATACACATTGCAGCTATTGCTGTCCCTTGTGACCAGACCCAAGAAGGTCCAAACCACTGGTCACATCTGCCTCTCACTGCAGGCAGCCTCCCACCTGGGGCTGCATCTCATATCTCTGAGGGTCTCTTATCTCCTGCCCTTCCCACTGCCTTTTCTTTCTTTCTCTTTCTTTCTTTCTCTTTCTTTTCTTTCTTTCTTTCTTTCTTTTTTTCTTTCTTTCTTTCTTTCTTTCTTTCTTTCTTTCTTTCTTTCTTTTTAAATATATTTTATTTATTTTTTACAGAGAGGAAGAGAGAGGGATAGAGTTAGAAATATCGTTGAGACAGAATCATTGATCAGCTGCCTCTTGAACACCCCCTACTGGGGATGTGCCTGCAACCAAGGTACATGCCCTTGACGGGAATCAAACCTGGGACCTTTCAGTCCGCAAGCTGACACTCTATCCCCTGAGCCAAACCGGTTTCGGCCCCACTGTCTTTTCTGATATGACTTCCTAACTGGGAAGTTGGTCCACACATCTTCCCCATGGCTTCTGTTCTTGGCCCCATGCTCTCCCTGGAACTTTCAGATCATCTCTGAGCCTTTTATCCAGGCCAGTCCTCCTCCTGTCCTCTCAGCATCTCTGAGTTAGACTTTGTAGTCACATCGATGGATTCATTATGTCCAACATTCTACATCCCACACATCTGTCCACACACCCTAAGACTGCCCCTAACTGGCCTCATTCCCCCATCCAGACTCCTCCTCACCATCTCCTTCCAGTTCACACAGCCCCAGGAATGATTGAAGCTGGTTTCAGGCTTCTTTAGTGTCTGCAGCTGGGGGACCTCCATGACAGGCTCTGAACTGCATCTCATGGAAATGAGTGGAACACCTCAAATTTATCAAGGAAACCTCATTTCTCCAAACAGGAAATCTTTCCAGTAAATTGAAGAGGACAAGCAAAGCTCAAAGAGCAGAGAGTGGTCAGCGTGGCCATCAGCTCCGAGAGATCTCCGTGAAGAACGAAATCCTGACTGAATGAGAACACATCCATCCACCCCATTCTTAGGAATAAAGAACATATGTATACACATATGTATGTATGGTTAACCATTTGGTAGAAGGAAAATTTTTTTATTCATGTGCTAGAGGCCCAGTGCACAAAATTCGTCCCTCAGCCAAGCCTGCACCCTCTCTAATCTGGGACCCCTCAGGATCGGGCGTACACCGGCAGTTGGATATCCCTCTCACAATCCGGGACTGCTGGCTTCTAACCGTCACCTGCCTGCCTGATTGCCTCTAACCATGTTTGCCTGCTAGCCTGATCTCCCCTAACCACTCACCTGCCTGCCTGCCTGATTGTCCCTAACCGCTTCTGCCTGCCAGGCTGGTCATCCCCTAACTGCTCCCTTGCTGTCCTGATTATCCCCAACTGCCCTCCCCTGCCAGCTGATCGCCCCCAACTGCCCTTACCTTCTAGCCTGGTCGCCTGGTGGAAGCTGCATGAAGCAGCAGCTGGGATCTGTCCCGCAGCAGGGCTGAGGGAAGTCTGGGAAGCCGAGTGGAGCAGAAGCAGGGACCCGATCCCGGGAGGGCTGAGGGAACTCTGTAGATGCCATGGGGAGCAGCAGCAGGGACCTGCCACCTGGCAGGGCTGAGGGAACCTGGCAGCAGGTGAGTGGAGCAGCCGCTGGACCTCCCGCATACCCTGCCCCACCCCCCTCCATTAGACTCGGGAACTGTGGCGGCAGGTGCGCAGAGCAGCTAGCATGTGCATGTTGCCATCTTGTGACAGCATTATGGCATGAAGTTTAATTTGCATATTGCCTCTTTATTATATAGAATTCCCAAGTAGAATTCATTTACTTAAATATTAAGCTAAAAGGTATGCATTTCTTTTTATTTGTGTCGGCTTTTAAAAATATATATTTAATTGATTTTTCACAAAGAGGATGGGAGAAGGATGGAGAGTCAGAAACATCAATGAAAGAGAAACATTAATCTATCAAATGAACACTCAGCCCTTTAGCTATACGGAGTTCAGGATATGGCTGATCACTGCTCTTGCTGTTTTGGCTCCTACTTGGCACCATGCAATGTTGGACCCATGGACGGTGAGACACTGAGGGGTAACTCCCCGCCGATGTGCTAGAATGGCTGCAAATGCCTCTGAGCCACCTCTGCTCTTCCTGATGGGGTTGCAGTACTCCTTACCATGCACAAACCCATTTCCCTTGGGTTTGTTCTTATCTATGTCCTCCTCAGCTCCAAATGCAGAAGCTCTGCCTTGTTTTCAGAAAAACCCTGCCTTCTTTGCAGGTGTCCGGATGTAGCTCGCAGCTCTGTCTCTCAGATTGGTGGCTCTCAAAATAAGGTTCCTGGATGAGTAGCATCCACAACTCCAGAGAAATTGTTAGGAGCAAAATTACCCTGCTCTGCGACATTACTCCAAGCCATTCTGGTGCCTGCATAAGTTGAGAGCCACTGTCGCTGCCTATTATAGTCTAAACAAGCATGTCAAACTCAAAGGCTAACACAGGCCAAATAAACGAGGCATGCAGCCCGCAGGCCACGAGTTTGACATGCTTGTTCTAAATCGTAAAATAAGCTGAAATGCTGGTGGACAGTCATGTATTCAAATCTCCCTGCTTTCCACTTCAATTCCAAATGAAGTTACCTCCATCAACAAGTCAGCATCACAGGCCAAAGGTTGTGTTTAAAAGAACTTATTTCAATCCTGCATCTTCTGAGGCCAAGGGACCCAAAGCATCCTCTCACCTGTAGTGATACTACTGAGAAACTTAAAACGCCAGATGAAAAATTAAAAAAAAATAAAAACTAGAAAAAGTAAGTAGTTGAAGTAGTCATTTAAAGAATCTAGATAATATGCTTACATGTAGTTGACTCTAGAGCCTCTGTCTTCACTCGTATTTTAACTGAATACCCATCAGCACATCCCTTTAATGTAGTCGCCAAAGCATATGCTCTGCAGCTCAACCGCTCCAGGAATCCCACTCATCTTTCCAAAAGATGCTGCTTTTGTGTAATTCCCACACCAGAGCCTTGCCAGTTGCTGCTGGTGAACTCCTCGGTGTACCCCTCACGAAGGCTTTCCTGCAAGCAGGAGGACTGAAAGCAATGGGCCACCCAGTCTCTCACTGGCCTGGCAGCTTCTCTCTTCAGCCCAGCCTCCAAGTGACTAACACAAGCCCTTCGCGGGCCCGTGTTGGCCCCACGCCCAGCGTGTCGCCGCATGTGTCCACTGGTCTGGAGGGCTTTGCTATCAGTGTTGGGCACCATCGTCATCACTTTGATTCTAAGGGTCAGCTTTCTCTTCTTCCAGAGATTGTGCTGCCACAGAGAACTGCATTTTCTAGAAACAGCCCTGCAGAGAGAAATATGTCTCCTGGTGTGATCAGGAATAAAGCACTTCTTTCCCCGAGGATGCGGGAAGGAGAGTGAGCCAGCACACCTATTATTCCCACAGTCTCTCTGAAAAATAATCTGGTGGCCTTTTCCTTATTTAAAAAAAAGGGGAGAAGGGGTCCTCTGTATGGTCCTCTCTCTCTCGTTCTGCCTTGGAAATGGAAATAGTGTCAGGCAGCCCCAGGGCCATCACCCACAGAAGCATTGCTTACAAGCTGGCTGGCTGCATACCCATAACATGCACACACGTGCACTCATGCAGACACATTCATATGCATGTCACATGTGTGCACAGAACACACCATGCATGTGAACACCTGTGCATGCACACATGAGGCCATGTGTCCTACCACTCAGCACTTTCTGTGGCATGTGCTAGAACTGCCACGCACAGAAACCATCATGTCCCTGCCTGGCACGTCTTGGACCTGTCCACTCAGTTGCACAGGCGAGGCCAGTGCTCATGAGCTCCATGTGGCCAGCATAAGGCAGGCCATCATGCCACCCTCACAGATGTGCCCAGCTTGACCTCAAATCCGTGGTCTAGAGCAGAGCCAGCAATCACTCTCTATAAAGTGCCAGACAGAAAATACTTTAGGCTTTGCAGGTCATATGGTCTCTGCTGTGACTCAACTCAGAAACAGTAGTGCAAAAGCCGCCAGATAGTCCATACAAATGGGTGTGGCTGTGTCCCAATAAAACTTTATTCAAAAAAAAACAACAGGCAGATAGCCAGGTTTGGCCCACGGACACAGCTCGGGCCTGCTCCTAGCAGCACGTCCAATAGAATTTCTCAGTGAAGAAAATGCTCTCTGTGGGCACTACCCAGTGCAGGAACCACCAGCTGCTTGGGGCCCAGGAGCATTCAAAATGTAGCTAGTGTGACTGAAGAGCTGAATCTTAAAGTGTGTTTAATGTGAAATAATTCAAATGTAAATGGCCAATGTGGCCGCTGGCTCCCCGCTTGCACAGCCCAGCTCCCAGTGAGGCCCTGAGATGCCCGGGATTGCAATTTGCTGTGGGAGTTCAGAGCTCATCTGCGACCTCCATTAGAACCCTTTTTGCGTGTGCATAGGGGCGCTTTTGCCGGCATTACCCTTTCTATCCGTAATCATTCCTTTAAGACCCGAAAAAGGTTTGCTTCTTGTGGCAGACTAAACGGCTGCATAGTTTTATATGAAAAAGGGAAATTTTCATCTGAACCTTTAAGAGGCTCAAAGTGGCAAGCCCAAAACACTCTTGAAGAAACACATTACTTTTTAAATGGCCAAATCGACTTTAGAAATATTTGTTAGAAAATGTTTTTCAGCTAAAGATCCCACATGATGTTTTTCAACTGAGAACGCACTTTACCTGCCTGATGCTCAATCGCTGATAATAGAGCTTCATAAAGGCAGCCTGACAGCCCCGCACAGCAGAGGCCCGGCAGGCAGTACCGGCGGGGAAGCCTGTCACCACGTTGGGCCAGTGGACAGACATGCCCAGGAGGAACGGCTGGATGAACCTAACTCTGCCTGGCCCACCCCATGTCCTTAGCAACACCACATCCCCAGGGTTGATATCAAGTGGTGGTTGTTTTTTTTTGTTTGTTTGTTTGTTTTTTTAAATATGTTTTTATTGATTTTTTGAGAGAGTTGGAATAGAGAGGGATAGAGAAATAGAAACACTGATGAGCGAGGAACATCATGGATCAGCTGCCTCTTGCATGCCCCCTATTGGAGATCAAGCCCGCAATCAGGGTATGTGCCTTAGCTCAGAATCAAACCATGACCTCTTGGTTTCTGGGTCTATACTCAACCGTTGAGCCAAACCAGCTGGGCTGATTCCAGGTTTGGTTTTGGTTTGTTTGTTTGTTTGGGTTTTTTGGTTTGTTTGTTTGTTTGTTTTAACTAAAAATAGGAAATAATGGCACACAGCTCATGGGTGATTCTAAGAATTAATGTAGGCACTGTGAAAAATTAAAAAAAAAAAAAAACAAGTTTGAGAAAATACTGGTAACAGTCTTCATTAACAAGAAAAGTGACCCTCCCCTGGCCACCATCAAGAACTAGCTGCGTGCCAGGCCCTGTCCAAAGGGTTTTTATTTAGATTAGCACATTCCATCCAACAGACTTCCCCCACACACTCCCATCAGCTATTACCAACACCTTCTGCCATCACCCACTGTCATTGCCCCCTGCCATCACCCATTCTTCTCTGTAGCCCTGAGAGGGACACACACTATCACACTCTCATTAACTGATTTAGTCAGGATTCTCCAGAGAAAAAGAACCAATAGGATGTGTGTGTGTGTGTGTGTGTGTGTGTGTGTGTGTGTGTGAGAGAGAGAGAGAGAGAGAGAGAGAGAGAGAGAGAGAGAGAGATTTTTTTTAAGAAATTGTCTCACCCAATGGAGGGGCTGGTGAGTTTGATGAAACCCAGGAAGAGTGTGAAACATTCAGTTCTGAAACCCATCTGGAGGTAGAATCCCAGGCAGGACATTCGGTGTCTTCCTTAAGGGTTCAATGAAAGGCTGCAGCCCACCCACATCATGGAGAGCGACCTGCTTTACTCATATCCCATTGAGCTAAGTGTTACTCTCAGGTGAGAAAATCTCTTTCCAGTGACATCCCAACG